CGGTGTTCAGAGGGACCATAATCGGCGAGCAACGATGTTCAAAGAGACTATAGTCAACAGACGACAGAGGTCGGAGGGACCATAGTCAGCATGTGACAGAGGTCAGAGGGATGATTAAGTTAAGGGATCAATAACTGCAAGAAGATTTGTTTTATACAAACAATTTTCATATTATAGGAGAATATACTTTAATCTAAAATTTAAAAAGTTCATTAAATAGAATACTTTCCAAATCTAAAGAAGCGAGTGATGGCTTTCAGGCCCTTTTCCACCACTGATCAAAGCAGGGGGCTTCCAGGCCCGTTTCCATAAAAGAGAATACCATTCAATTATGGGCTGTAATAGGCCCTAGTAACAAGTCAAACTAATTACTTGGCCCACTGCCCACTAATTTGATAAATAATGTCTCATTAGCTAAGCTTAATAGAAAACAATAATCCCAACTAAGGGTTTAAGTGAGTCGAGCTGGTACGTGAGCCAATTCGAGCTAGACTTGATGACAAGCTCATGAGCAGAACTATTCAAGTCACTAGATCAAACTCAAGCTTGTATATTAAACAAGTTCAAATTTAAACTTGATGAGGCTAACTTAGAAGCTAGCTCAAGCTTACATGGAGCTTTTGAGAAAGCCCATATTCCCAAAAAATTTCTGCTCTTATATTGATAAGGCCGCGAGAATCATGTCGGCACCTTCTTATCTTTCACCGAGATCTCATGAACTACCTTGCAGCCTCGCTTTTATTGCCATGAGCCAAACTTGAGCTCAACTCAAATTTAAGCAAGATTTGACAACAAGTCGAGCTTGAGTTACGCATGGCTCAAGATCAGCTCAACTAGTTTACACCTCTAAGCCCAACTTCACTTATGGCACATGAAGGAGCACATCTAAAAGATCTTAAAATAAATTTACATTTATAACAAATTTATAAGGTTGAAGACAATATCTAAAAAATTTCTCATCCCATTCTTTTTTTCCCTTTTTCTGGTCATCCAATCTCTCAGCTATCTGAACTATTAAAAACCCATTGTTGACGGAAATTCGAAGAAAAGCAGAGCAGAAACCAAACTGGAATCAGCAATTTTCCAAACGGTAAGACATTCAGTGGAATAAAAGTGACTCACAATAAAAACAGTGGAATTATATCTGTCACTAATGCATATCAGTTCAGCAGAGCAGCATATGCAGCAAATCCACAGAATCTCTATCTATTCTCACAACAAAATCATACAGTAAATCTGCACTGCAGTTGAGAAGCTTAATCACCGTAGAATTCCTTCATCAGCAGCAAATCTAATACTGATAAAGAATCGGCCAAGTGATCAAAGTTTCCACCACCAAGATATGGAGTGCAATGAATGATTGTCAAATAAATAGCTCACAGTAAAGCATCAGCTATTCTTTCTTCTTCTCTTGCAATCTTAAACAAACCACTAACTCTCTGATGCGCTTCTTCGGTAAATAGCCAGAGTGAAGTATATGAGTATCATTGTTCCCATGCTTGACCTATCAAGAATATGAACTATCAAGTTAAGCAAACTATGGCTCGGGATTTACTTGATAAATGGTATTGATTGGATGATTTTATTACAAGTTTTTAAGTGAAATTATCTTATTTGAACATAGAAATATGAAATGCTCAAGAAATAATAGAGAAGCAGACTATTGTTGATCCCATAAGGCCACAGTGGTGAACTTGATTTTGATAATTTTAAGCCATGAAAATTTTATTAATCAAGTTGTAGCTCACTAAAAAAAACTATTAATGGTTGAATGAATTGAGTGGCTATACATGAACGTTCTTACCAAAGAAAATTTCAGTGGTTTAACAAGCTGATTGAATAAAGATGAATGTAATGCTTCAATGTTATTGTTATGATTCTTGAGGAGGAAGATGAATCTTCTTGGATGAGAGAGAGGGAGGGGGAAGAAAGGGAGAGAGAACTAACAGGGAATTTTCTTTATTCCTCTTAAATGGGCTACATAAGGATACCACCCACATCAATAGATAGCATCTATATATAAGTATTTATATTGGTGAGTTGTCTTGCAAATCAACACAACTAAAATTGAACCAACCATAACAATCTTCACCTTGGTCCAAATTTTACAATGAATATCGGAGAACCACCTGTTCGCAAGAATTCGCGCTTGCTGCGATCTGACCGGCTCCTTGTACTTACTCCACAAGGAAACCTGTCGAGCCGAGCCCAATCCAGCTCACGCTCCTATGCATTTTAAACTTGCATCTGTCGTTGTTCCTCCCGCAATCCGCACGCCCGCGCCTTGTGCATCAACTACTCCCGTGCAGCACTCTCACGCTCCTGTTTTCCTCAGGCACTCGTGCGCACTACGTCCGGCAACTTCACACGAGCCACCTGTCCAATCCCGAGTCCTGCACACGCTTCTTACGCACTCCTATGTGCAGCTGCCTCTCACGTGATCTACTCTAAGGTTCTTGATCCTGACACCCCAAGGTTTTTGATCCAGTGCTTTTGTTTCGGCTGCACCAACACACCAAACCCGAACAACTTTGCCCGTTGATTTGCCCGTGTTCCGACCCGGAGACTCAACATCAAAAGATCTAAACATATCTTTAATCAAGAGTAGGCAAATTTCACTTCCAACCTATCATGTGCTTTCATGCGCGACACAAGCTTGCCGCCCTGAGTCCATACCTGTCTGCCCACGTGAGTTCGCCCGTGCGTCTACCACTACCCACGCGTTTGCTCACGCCATACTCGTTCATCCCGTACCCAGCACTTCCGCCTTGCTCCCACACATCCACCGAAGCATGTCCATCTCTAAGGTTCGTTCGACTCATGCAACCGGTGTCATGCCTCAGCCACTCCCATCAGCGGCGGAACCACATGGGGAAATTGCCCCCCCCATAGATTATTTTTAATATTTAATTATTTTTGTATTGTACATGCCCCCCTCAAAATTGAAGCTGGTTTCGCCCCTGCCTCCCATTCTAAACTCTCTTTGTAGAGATTAGATATGGTTAGATGATAGCACTTGAATTTATTAAGTTTGATATATTGACATTTTTTAATCACTTCTCTGTTGAATATTTCAATATGATTTTATTGTTCTTGTAATTGCTTAGCTGCGAATCACTAGATCTAGAAATTTTTTGAACTTGAGAGGTAACCAATGAGTTTATTGGTGTTAAAATACTTCAACCAATCGTAGGATAGACATGTTTGCATAGAGATTATATTATTTTTTGAGATTCTTATTTTATTGTAATTCTTCACATTGAATTTATCTCAGAGATTGTGATAAAATTAGCTTCACAACTCAATTCTTCTAAATTTTTGAGACAACAACAACAACATCAAGCCTTTATCCCACTAGGTGGGGTCGGCTACATGAATTCTTTTTCTCTATTGTGTCCTATTAAAAGTCAGATTCTCGTATAAATCTAATAAAGAAAGGTCATTCCTAACATTTTCTAACCAAATTTTTGAGAGAAGTAAAAAAACACTTCTAAATCTAATTACATTAAATTTACTTTTATTGATTGATTGAATTCAAATAACATCTGACTTATTTTCAGATCTAATTACAATAAATTTATTTCCTTCTCTTTCTTTCTCCTTCTCTCCCCTCCTATCTTTCTTTTTTATTCATTCTCAACTCCTACACGAAAACCTAAAATTGTCTAATACTACCATGTCAACTAGGCTCAATGCAAGAACTAATATAGTGACAAACCCAATGAAAATTTACCTAATTTGTGCAAAACCGCTTAACCTATTTTGATGCTCTCACCATTGAATATTAATACCTACCCACCATGTGATTCGTTAAAGAATATCAAATCATTACCTAATAAATCACCTAATATGCTTCAAAATTTTCAAATAATAATCTTAATACCAATTTCATCTTATCATTCATGAATGATATTGAGTCAAACAAGTCATCATTATGCATATTTTGGAATACTCACATAGAAGCAAAAAGAAGAAGAATTCTTCTAGGGTTGATTGTCATCAAGCGATTAAAACGCTTAATCCTTCCTTCTCCTGCATCTCCAAGGTAGGTGCAGTTAGCCACAATTGGCGTTGCTGCGATAGCTTTGTTAGGAACAAGGGGCTGCTTCGATTGCTCCAGCTGTGAACACATCACTGTAAAAGCAAAGCAAAGTTTCAACACACATTTCAATACATAGAAATTAAAACTTCAGATCAGCATTTGTATAAACAAAATAAAATTAATAATTAGGTAGAGCTCAATCATACAATGAGAATATTCCATTTGACTAACCAAATACTAAACTTACTAAAACACGTAGGATCAGAAACATGACTCGAAACAAAAGACACAAACGCCCTTTGGGCTCACATACGAAAACTCTCACAAGAGGGGTACAACGGGAAAGACAACACATAAGCAACGAAATAAAATAAAATAAAAATACGACTCATAAATGCCACATAAGCAAATAACAAACTACATGAAAATGAAATACATCAACGACTCAAAAATATAAAGACTCGATCGTGGCCGTAGATCGGCGGCCACGTCTCTGATAAACTCTCCATGACGATCTGATGTCCCCATCACTATGACATCATGTTTTTTCTCCTGCGGTACCGTGTCGACACCTTATCTTTCACCGTGATCTCACGAACTACCTTGCAGGCTAGCTTTTATTGCCACGAGCCAAATTTGAGCTCAACTCAAATTTGAGCAAGATTTGTCAACAAGTCGAGCTTGAGTTACGCATGGCTCAAGATCAGCTCAACTAGTTTACACCTCTAAGCCCAACTTCACTTATGGCACATGAAGGAGCACATCTAAAAGATCTTAAAATAAATTTGAATTTATAACAAATTTACAAGGTTGAAGACAATATCTAAAAAATTTCCCATCCCATTCTTTTTTCCTTTTATTTGGTCATCCAATCTCTCAGCTATCTGAACTATTAAAAACCCATTATTGACGGAAATTCGAAGAAAAACAGAGCAGAAACCAAACTGGAATCAGCAAATTTCCAAACGGTAAGCATTCAGTGGAATAAAAGTGACTCACAATAAAAACAGTGGAATTATATCTGTCACTAATGCGTATCAGTTCAGCAGAGCAGCATATGCAGCAAATCCACAGAATCTCTATCTATTCTCACAACAAAATCATACAACAAAATCATACAGTAAATCTGCACTGCAGTTGAAAAGCTTAATCACCGTAGAATTCCTTCATCAGCAGCAAATCGAATACTGATAAAGAATCAGCCAAGTGATCAAAGTTCCCACCACCAAGATATGGAGTGCAATGAATGATTGTCAAATAAATAGCTCTCACAGTAAAACATCAGCTATTCTTTCTTCTTCTCTTGCAATCTTAAACAAACCACTAACTCTCTGATGCGCTTCTTCGGTAAATAGCCAGAGTGAAGTATATGAGTATCATTGTTCCCATGCTTGACCTATCAAGAATATGAACTATCAAGTTAAGCATCCTATGGCTCGGGATTTACTTGATAAATGGTATTGATTGGATGATTTTATTACAAGTTTTTAAGTGAAATTATCTTATTTGAACATAGAAATATGAGATGTTTCATGAATTGGTGCATATGCTCAAGAAATCATAGAGAAGTAGAAAAATGATAACAGACTATTGTTGATCCCATAAGGCCACAGTGGTGAAATTGATTTTGATATTTTTAAGCCATGAAAATTTTATTAATCCAGTTGTAGCTCACTAAAAAACTATTAAAGGTTGAATGAATAGAGTGGCTATACAGGAACTTTCTTACCAAAGAAAATTTGTGGTTTAACAAGCTGATTGAATAAAGATGAAGGTAATGCTTCAATGTTGTTGTTATGATTCTTGAGGAGAAAGATGAATCTTCTTGGACGAGAGAGAGGGAGAGAGAACTAATAAGGAATTTTCTTTATTCCTCTTAGATGGGCTACATAAGGATACCACCCACATCAATCTATAGCATTTATATATAAGTATTTACATTGGTGTGTTCTCTTGTTGATTAACACAACTAAAATGTAACCAATCCTAACAATCTTCACATTGGTCCAAATTTTACAATAAATATCAAAGAACCACCTGTTCACAAGAATTTGTGTCTGTTGTGATCTGATCAGCTCCTTGTACTAGCTCCACGAGCAAACCTATCGAGCCGAGCCCAATCCGGCTCACGCCCAGCCTCCATTATATTTTCCAATCCATGGCTCGAGTTCGCACTTCTGTGCATTCTAAACCATGTGTGTATGCGCCTGTCGTTGTTCCTTCCAAGATCCGCACGCCCGTGCCTTGTGCATTGTCTGCTCCCGTGCAGCACGCCCACGCTCTAACACCAAGCATCCTCACGCTCACTTGTCTTCTCCGGGCACCTATGCACGCTACGTCCTGCGACTTCACATCAGCCACCCATCCAATCCTGAGTCCTATGCCAGCTTCTTACGCACTCCTGTGTGCGGCTTCCTCCCATGTGATATACTCCGAGGTTCTTGATCCTACCTTTGATCCAGTGCTTTTGTCTCCGTTGCTCCGACACACCAAAGTCGAACAACTAAGCTTTTTGATTTGCTCATTTTCCAACCCGAAGACTCCACTCTAAACAGAACAGACAAATTCCACTTCCAACATGTCATGCGCTTTCACGCGTGACGCTAGCCCGCCGCCCTGATCCAGCACTCGGCCTCTCACGTGAGTCCGCTCGTGCACTTGCCGCTTCCCACGCAGAAACCCGCGCCCCACGAGTCTACTCGAGCCTTGTGTATCCACCCCATGCATGGCGCTTCCACCTCCACGAGTCTACTCGAGCCTTGTGCATCCACCCCACGCATGGCACTTCCACCTCGTGCCCACGTCGGCTGCGACACCCGCGCACGACACCGCTCGGTCTGATCGTGCGCCCCGCTCGACCTGCTTTTCGAGGACACTGCTCCGCCTCACGTGGTTTACACCATCCTGCAATCGGCTCGATGCCCTTCTTGATTACAATATCCTGGAATCTCGTGGAACTATGCCGTGCTTCTACTCTGCATGCACCGAGGTCCATTCGCTTCATGCGACCGAAGTCGTGCCTCCCCTCACATTCTAAACTCTCTTTGTAGAGATTAGATATAGTCAGATGTTAAAACTTGAATTTATTAAGTTTGATATATTAACATTTGTTATTCACTAATATGTTGCATATTTCAATATGATTTTATTGTTCTTGTCATTGCTTAGTTGCAAATCGCTAGATCTAGAAATTTCTTCGAACTTGAGAGGTAATAAATAAGTTTATTGGTGTTAAAATACAACCAATCGTAGGATAGACATGTCTGCATAGAGATTATATAATCTTTTGAGATTCTTATTTTATTGTAATTCTTCGCATTGAATTTATCTCATAGATTGTGATAAAATTAGCTTCACACCTCAATTTCTCTAAATTTTTTAGAGACAAGTAAATAACACTTTTGAATCTATTTACATTAAATTTACTTTTATTGATTGGTCAAATTCAAATAACATTTGATTTATTTTCGGATCTAATTACAATAAATTTATTTCCTTCTCTTTCTTTCTCCTTCTCTCCCCTCTTATCTCTCTTTTTTACTCCTCAACTCCTAAACAAAAACCTTAAATTGTCTAATACTACCATGTCAACTAGGCTCAATGCATCAACTAATATAGTGACAAACCCAATGAAAATCTACCTAATTTGTGCAAAACCGCTTAACCTATTTTTGATGCTCTCACCATTGAATATTAATACCTACCCACCATGTGATTCATTAAAGAATATTAAATCAATACCTAATAAGTCGCCTAATACGCTTCAAATTTTTCAAATAATAATCTTAATACCAATTTCATCTTATCATTCATGAAGGATATTGAGTCAAACAAGTCATCATTATGCATATTTTGGAATACTCACATAGAAGCAAAAAGAAGAAGAATTCTTCTAGGGTTGATTGTCATCAAGCGATTAAAACGCTTAATCCTTCCTTCTCCTGCATCTCCAAGGTAGGTGCAGTTAGCCACAATTGGCGTTGCTGCGATAGCTTTGTTAGGAACAAGGGGCTGCTTCGATTGCTCCAGCTGTGAACACATCACTGTAAAAGCAAAGCAAAGTTTCAACACACATTTCAATACATAGAAATTAAAACTTCAGATCAGCATTTGTATAAACAAAATAAAATTAATAATTAGGTAGAGCTCAATCATACAATGAGAATATTCCATTTGACTAACCAAATACTAAACTTACTAAAACACGTAGGATCAGAAGTTGAAAGCCATTAGGTTGCCTTTTTGCATATTTTAGGGAACATGAAGGGAGGTTAATTCTAATTGATCACATGAGCTTTAGAATCCTGCAAAGGACTTAAAGGTTTCGATTGGAATGGCTTTCTTAATGCTTCTTAAAACAACTTTTTAGTTCAAAAATTTTAATTTTTGTACTAGAAAGCTTAAAAAAGCCGTCCCAAACAAAGCCAGCATGTCGGTACATTACTTGCCTAAAGAGTGGTTGTCCTTTTGTAGATTCATAGATAAAAGACAATCTGGCTTCCTTTTGAATGATAAATATACCAAATCTGGTTTCATCTAATAAAATGAGCTGTAAAAAATAAAAATGTTGAATCACTCTAATACATTTAGGAGCAATAGGTACAATCTAAATGCAAGAAAGTGATTGGAACAAGAGTTCAAAAATAAGAGTGTCATTTGTTTTGTACAACGTGATTGATTAAAGGTGAAAATTGGGCTTCAACTATGAGGGGCTTAAAAGTCCCGTTCATTTTTACTTTTTTTATAAAGCAGTAGTAAAAGGAAGGTATTAGCCTATTATTTTCATTCATAATATATATATATATATATATATATATATATATATATATATATTCAGATGAAACCAAAAAAAAGGTAAAATAATAAATTTGGGATTCAGATCCAACCACTTCTAAACTCTTCAAAATAAAATTATAGGCAGCTGGCAGCTGCCAACTCACAGTCCGGCTCAGACATTTGAAATATGTCCTCACTATTGCACAATAGGCATGCAACAGTGAAACAATCAATAAGTTGAAACAATGAGAATATGTCCTCATACCTTTAGCCAAAAGCTTTTTTGTTGTGTCATCCCCCTCTTGCTCCTCACCATTTCTCCTCTCCATTCGATAAGAACCCTTCCGGGATAATGCTTTCTGTTTCATAAGTTTCAGGAAAAATACATTTCTCATATATATTTAGCAAAACCTTCAAGTTTGAAATTTAGTAATATCAAAAGAACACCAAAAAGTCATAAAATGTACAAGAAAGACACTACAAATCACTTACAGTCATTTTGGGGCTTCCAGAGCATTTATTAGGAGGCAGGGTGAGGCTTTCAATATCCAAGATGACACTTTCTGAGATGTCCATTGCAATTCTCAGGCCTTAAATGCTAAAGAAAGAAAGAAAACAATCATTTTTGCTGTCATGTTATTTTCATCATGACCATATTAGGGCCTACGAATAATGTGAACAAACAAAAGCACACAAGCCATCAAAGCAACTCAACCAGCATTCACGTGAGTTAAAGCAAAGAATGATTAAGCTAATAAAAGATGTTGTAATATAGAAAAAAGAAAGAAAGGAAAGAAAAGCCTTATCTTTTTTAAGCTTACGATGAAGAACTTTATTAGGGTAGTTGAAGAAGTTGATTAGATGTAGAAATCATGTATCAGGAGCTAAAAACCAATGCTGCATGAGCTTATAACATCCTTCTTAAGGAAACAGGCAATGCAAACTATTAGACTTCTCATGTTTTGAATTTGCCCTGAGTAATGCTACTATTTCTGTCAAAAAAATGGACTTACAAGGTAAAATAATCCTTTTTGCCCTTCATCTCATTTCCATATTAAAGAAAAAAAAAAGAAAGGGAGGACTAATCTATAACGATATTTCAGACAAATTTGTTTGTAGTAGCATTATTCATTTTCCTTTATTTTGCATGTCCTCTGTAAGTAAAAGAAGACAGGAAAAAAGATATTATAAATCAATAGCTCCATGTAATTTGCAGAACGAAGCAATTATACATATTCTGGCTTAAAAAATATTCATATAATGCATTCTTTCTATTTCCTGAACTATTAGCCTAGTAATACCAAATCTGACAGTCCATTAGGCGCTCTACTCTGAGAAATTATAAGATTACAGTAGATCATCTTTTTAATCTGAGCTACAGTTCAACTTTTTTATTTATGTTAATCTGTATTATTCTATGGGTTCATTTGTGTTCTTCAAATTTGAAATCATTTTTTGAAAAACAGTGAATTTACAAGAGATTCCATCATTTTGTTTGGTGTAGTTTAGAAAATGATATGAGTTTTAGGCTCCATTTGGGACGATTTTCTTATTGCTTCTTAAAGCAGTTTTTTACTACAAAAATTCTAATATTTGTACTAAAAAGCTGCTTTAAGAAGCAGTAAGAAAGACATCCCAAACGAAACCTTAAACTCTATAAATGCTATCAAAATTCATCAAAAGTGTTGATATAATTTCCACTAACTGAAAATAAACTCATCATTTTTTAAACCATGCTTTTATAAGCAGACAGTAGTCAAAGTAGTTCAATACAAAATATAATATAGAAGCTTGCAAAAGTGGATGAACTCCACTCATCCAATGATTTTCTCTCTTTTTCAACCCATTCATACAAAAGAATAGCAAGAACAGAAGACAAGGAAGCATTCAAAATTCTAAATCCAGAAACCCAGGCAATGAACTTTCAACCCTGGAAATAGCATAATGAACTACAAAATTAAAACATTTAGATCTTATTTGGTTGCTTGTGAACATAAAATATATTTCAAAAAATATGATTTTTTTTTAATCTGAATAAAATCACCATTTTTAAGAGAATTTTACACAGTTTGTGGAATTTGAAATCAACGTTAATTTCTTGCAAACAAATTTAACAAATTTCATAATTGTTAAATTAGTACTTCCAACATCAAGCAACAAAATGAGACCTTAGAACAGTACTTCACAACAAATCAAAATCCCAAAAAAGCTTGAAATTTTTAGTTTTCCTTGATTCCCAAGTCTATGTGGTCCAATAAAAAAGAAACGGGTCGCATAGACAGAGACTTAGGCATTAAAACAAATTCCAAATTTGTACCACATTACTTAAACATTTATGTTTGTAGCGCTCTCCATCGTACTGAGATTGGTTATTTGGCATAAAGCCCAAAACACTAAAAATCCAACTGGATTTTTCAAAAAAACCAGAGATTAAGACTGCAATTGGTCATGCCGCTCCCGCTTGTAATGCTGTTGCAAAAAGACCCAAAATCCTTCACAAATTACTTCTTTCTATGCCCCTATTCATTCTAGAACAAGAATACTCGTCTAAACCAAGAGAGAAAACGAGGACTTTAGAGAGAGAGAGGAATTTCAGAATACTGAGAAGCAGAGCACCAAATACAAAACTCACAAAAGAAGAAGACAGGAGAAATTTCCCCTCTACTTCAAATCATCCACACAAGAGAAGCACAATAGCAGAAGGCAAGGAGGCATTCAACATTGTAAATCCCAAATTTCAAATCATAAAAGATGCCCAAAAACAAACAATGAACTTTACAACACCTTGACCATAAGAAAATGCTCTAAAAAGCTAAAACATTTGTGTTAATGGCTTCTTCTATCATCATACAGAGATGGATTATAACTTGCAAACAAGAGCTTAAGATTGATGCCCACACCACAGTTACAATGCTCTTGCAAAACGTAACGGAATCCTTCAGGTAGAAAAGAGAGAACTACAAGACAGAAAGAAAGAGGACTTACAGAGTAGTGTGAGAAGGAAGGAGAAGACCAAATCCTAAAAAAAAGCTCCAAGTTGAAGTAGGTGGAGGAAGGAAGCTGAGGAAGTGAGGAGGGGAACCGTTGGAGAGAGTGCTGCGCTGTCTGTGACCCAAAAAAGACTATCTATGGCCGCTTCCTTCTCGATAGATGTTGGGGTGGCATCTTTTTGCCTTTTATTATTTGTTCTCTGGTCCCCAATCGCCACACAACGACGAAAAAAATTGTATAACCATCGCCTCAAGCGAATATTGTATTAAAATACATTATATCAATGAAATGGGTAAGTAAAATAGAAAAGAAAATAAATATATAATAGCGAAAAATGAAGAAATAGATTTATTATTATTTTTTAGATAATATATTAAAAATCATTTTTTAGCCAAACATATATATATCTAATTATTTGTAAAGGAAAATTAAATATAAACATTCTTATATTACTATTATATATTTATTTTCAAAGCTCCTCCGACAGCCGTAGTTTGCAAGCTCGTCCTCGGGTTTGTCGGTCATGTCATGTCAACCCGTAACCCGGCTGGTTGGGTCCGAGTTGGATTTTCTGACCCGTACCCAAAAATGGGCCATGTTAGGGTAAACTTGTTTAGACTTGGGTCAATCTGAATTCGACCCGTACTCGATCCGCATACCCGTTTTGATAACCCTAGCTAAACGTATGCGTTGTATGTGTGAATTTGCCTTAAATGATCTAAATATCCACATAAAAAATATTATATTAATGAAATGGGTAAGAAAAATAGAGAAGAAAATAAATATATAATAGCGAAAAATGAAGAAATAGATTTATTATTATTTTATAGATAATATATTCAAAAATCATTTTTTAGCCAAACATAAATCACATCACAAATAAAGTGATATATTCCTAATTAGTTTTAAAGAAAGTTTAAATATAAACATTCTTATATATTACTCAAAGAAGAATGAAAAAAATGAAAAGCAAGTCAATTGGAAGTTCATTTGAAAATGAAGTAAATAACTGGTGGCACAGAATAGATTTTTTCTCCAAAATATCAAAGTTTTCTAGACTTCTTGGAAAGCTACTAACTAGGGATGTCAATATTTGACATAACCTGAAATCCGACACAAATCAGGCCCGAAAAATTCTGGGTTCGAGTCAACCAGTTTAACATATGGGCCGGGTTTGAGTTAAAAAAGTCAATCCATTTCAAAAATCGGGTTGGGTTCGAGTTGACCTAAAAACTTGAAATTGACTCGATTGACCCATTTAGAAACCCTAGCTTCTGCAATTTTGGGCGTTCAGACTGTTCGCAACTCGCGAGTCAGATGACTGTTCACTTCGGCCTTCAAGCCAAGCCTACAGCTTGTTCGAACATCTGCCAAGCCGAGTTGCTTGCACACACAAAATTAAATTAAATTTAAAAAATTATCTTAATGTTCTAATATAAAAAATAGTTTTATTTTTCCTCATACAATGGGTTATTTTCTTGTTTTTGAATAAAACTGAGACAGCGACGGCAAACACGCCGGGAAAGAGCAACGGCTACGGAACTTGGAAGGATAAGCCTGTCTCCATCTTAACGGTAACGTCGCCGTTTGGATTATCTTGAATGGAAAGGAACATCAAATAACTCTTCAATTTTTTGGGATTTGTTTTTTGGTAATTCACCACTTTTGATTTATTTATCATTCAATACTAAGCAATAATCAATTAAGGAGTAGTTTTATTTTAATATTTTTAATTGTCATTTTTATCAAATAAAGGATCATTTAATTTGAATAAAAAGTGGGCTTTTAAGATATATTAACATTTAAAATTAATAAATATTTTCATTTTTAAATGTTTGTTTGGATTGACCAATTTAAATGAAATATAATGTTAAGCATAAAAATTAATCGAAAAAAGAATGCATTATCACAAAAAGTTAATTGTATAATATCTCTTTTATAGAAAAATGAACCATCATATGCTTGAAAAGAATTCAGATGGACATGAGATCACCGTGTTAACTACTAGGTTTACGTGGCTTCTCCATGTCACCGTACCTTCTTTTATTAATGTTATATGTACTTTCTTGTTCTTGATGCTTATTTCTTAGCCCTTATCTATATATTAGACTTGCTCTATGTAATAATGAGTAATCAAAATAATAGAAAAGTTTCCTTTAGCATTCTTCCTCATCTCTGTGCCTGATTCTCTTCCTCTCCCATTCACGCCTCCTATTCTACATGGTATCAGAAACTTGATCCTACCTCCCTCTCCCTTCCCAATGAACTCTTATGTAAAAACATCATCACCCACCCAACCCGTCGCAACTCAACCAGGCAATGTCTTCACCTCGCCGGAAATAACATCTTCTCTAAAATTCTTGATGAGCAACATCAAGAACGTTATTGCTCAACCTCTCACCACTGAGAACTATCCTCTTTGGCAATCACAAGTTCAGAAACTATTCCGCGCAAATGGCTTCGAAAGCTTCTTGGACGGCTCAACTACATAGTCTACACATACGCCACGAGCCACCCCTACCGACGACGATCAGCCTCTTTCAAGTTCTCGTTCCACCAATTAAATTCTTCTTGACCAGAACCTCGCTGCGGCGCTCTTCTCTGTCATCTCACCCACAACTCTACCATATGTTCTTTCACTCGAGCACTGTGCCAAAATTTGGTCTACGCTAGATCAGCAACTTCAATCCTCAACTCGCTCAAGAATCATTCAACCCAAGAACGAGTTACATTACCTGTCTATGAAATACAAATCCATGACGCAATATCTTCTCTAAGCCAAAGCGAAGGTTGATGCTCTCGCCGCAGTCGGCACTCCAATCGACACTGAAGATGTCATTCACTTTACACGGAATGGTCTGCCACCTATCTACCAAGCCTTCAAGATAGCTATCCGAACAAACCTCCGTCTGGTCACCCTGGATGAACTATACACATTGCTATGCATTGAAGAACTCAATCTCGCGCACGAGACCACCAAAGAGCTTCATTCACTAAAAATCTCCAGCAGCTCAATGGCTCTAATGGCAACTCGCGGACGTGGTTGCGGTAGATCTTCCTACCCTCGTGGTCGATCAAACGGCCGCTCATCTAACAACTCAAATCCATCTCGCGGTGGCCGAACCCAATGATCTACGGTCACTTGCCAAATCTGCGGCAAGAATGACCATTCAGGTGTTAGTTGGTATCAACATGATGAACAATACAATACATACCCACCATCCGTCCACTTTACCTCTCCGACGTCATCCACATCGCAGGACTGATTCCTTGACAGCAGCGCATCCACGCACCTCTTGTCCGATCCAACTCATCTTCACAATCCCCAAATCTACAATGGCTCTACACAAGTGGTTCTTCGTAACGGTCACCAATTACCTATACACACTACATGTAAAAGAATACTACCTACACATACAGTTAGTCTCCAATTAGATAATCTCAACCTTGTGCTGAACCTTTCCTTCAATCTTCTATATGTTCATAAATTAGCAACATATAATAATTTTCTAATCACCTTCTCTTCTCATGACTATCAAATAAAGGACAAGACAATCAACCGCCTTCTTCTTAAGGGTCCATGTATTAACGACCTCTACCCGCTCCAAATAATCTTCACAACGATCCAACAACTTCTTAGTTAGCTCTCCTCTCTGTCCAAGCTTTTCAAGATTTATGGCACCGTCGGCTAGGACACCTGCTATCCCACACTCTCTCCACCATAGCTAAACTTCATCCAAGTTTTTGTGTTTCCACAAAATCAAACATGTGTAAAACTTGTAAAATGTCTAAAATCCATCAGTTACCTTACCTTAGTTCTCAAAGTGTAACAAAACCCCCCTTCTATTTAGTCCACTCGGACGTTTGGGGACCTTCCCCAACTATCTCTACTCATGGATATAGGTATTATATCTTATTCCTTGATGACTTTTTTAAATACACTTGGTTGTACCCCCTTGTCCAAAAATCTGATGTGTTTAACAAGTTTCTTGAATTTCAATGAATGGTCGAAAGACAATTCCCATACAAAATTCTCAAACTGCGAATTTACGGTTGTGGGGAATTTATCAATAACAAATTCTAGGCCCTTCTCCAGCACTGCGGTATTCTTCACCAATTCACATGCCCTTACTCACTATCTCAAAATGGCGTGGCGGAACGTAAACACCATCACTTAATCGAAACCACTCGCTCTATGCTTATCGAAGATTCTCTCCCACAACACCAATGGGTGGATACCCTCTTGACTATAGCTCAACTAATCAATCGCTTACCCTCTCACAACACTGTCAATAAATCCCCTCACAAAATTCTTTACCACAGTCGGCCAACGTATAGCCATGTTCGTGTCTTTGGATGCCTCTATTACCCTTGGCTAAAACCTTACTCCTAAAACAGACTGTCCCTTATATCGTACCCTTGCATCTTCATCGGGTATTCCCCCTCCCAAAAAGGCTACAAATGTCTTGACCCAAAAATAAATAAAATCTACACATCTTGCCACATCATTTTTAACGATGCTATATTTCCCTACTCCAAACAATTCACTCGGCAATCAGACTCACCCTCCAATTTTCTTACAACACCACCTCTCCTACTCGTTCCGACATCCATGAACAATCCCAATGTTCCTCATGGCCACAGTCAAAAACCACACCCTCAAATTACATCTATACCCACGATTCTCTCCTAGCCAAAACATCACTCCCACAACACTTAGCCCACACTTCTCCAATGACCAATCCACGATAACTCAGCAAAACCCAATGTCGTTAAAAAACCTTCCGACACACAATGATCATTAGATCCAAAACTAGCTCGCTCAAAACTAAACAAATCTTTGATCTCACTCACGTTCTTTAGCCCGCTGAACCAACCACATACAATCAAGCGGTCAATCTTTTAACATGGTGTAAAGCCATGTCCCAAGAATTCCAAGCTCTCAAAGATCAAGGAACCTAGGAATTAGTTCCCCTCGCACCAAACCAAAACATCCTGGGATGCAAATGGACCTTTCGTATCAAATTTAATTCTGACGGCTCAATCGCTCAATACAAGCTCGCTTGGTCGCAAAAGGATTTAACTTAGAACACGACATAGACTACACAGAAACCTTCAGTCCCATTGCTAAAATGCCAACAATTCACATCCTTATACTCCTCTCTTTACAACACAACTGGCCAATACACCA